TGTGGATCAAAGTCTTTACAGAAGTATGATAGGAAGTCTTATATATCTCACATCTAGCAGATCTGACATTGCCTTTGCTGTAGGGGTGTGTGCTAGATATCAAGCTGATCCTAAAGTTAGCCATGCCAACCATGTGAAGAGAATTCTTAAATATGTGAATGGGACAAGTGACTATGGTATGTTATACTCTCATGGATCTAGTTCTGCCTTAGTTGGTTATTGTGATGCTGACTGGGCAGGAAGTGCTGATGATAGAAAAAGTACATCAAGAGGATGCTTCTTTCTGGTAAATAATCTCATATCTTGGTTCAGTAAGAAGTAAAATTGTGTGTCTCTATCCACTACTGAGGTTGAGTATATTATTGCAGGAAACATTTGTTCTCAATTGGTTTGGATGAAACAAATGCTAACATAATATAATGTCAAACAAGATGTCATGACATTATTCTATGACAATCTAAGTGCCATAAACATATCAAAAAATCCTATTCAACCCAGCAGGACCAAACACATTGATATCCGTCATCACTTCATAAGAGTGCTTGTTGAAGAAAAGATTGTTGCCTTAGAACATGTAGCCACTAAACTAAAACTGGCTGACATTTTCACTAAGGCTTTGGATGCTAATCAGTTTGAGAAATTAAGAGGAAAATTAGGTATTTTCTTATATGAGGGTTTGTAGCAATTAAGGACGTGTGGGAATATCATTAAAGTGATATTATAGTATTTATGTTTCTAACAAATTAAATTTCTAAAGCAATCATTATAAGACTGACTCAAAGTGTTTCCCACACGCTACGAAATCACATCTTTCTACTTTCACAAACTCTTCATTCTCCTCTACAGAAAAATAACCCTTTTCATTCTTCATCTCTTTGCTTAAAAATCTTCAAAGATGTCTCAACATCATACATCGTCTTCCTCAAAATATGTCAACCTCCCTGAGAAACTCTCTCTTGACAGAGTACTTGACGTTACTCCTCTAATAATTATCCCACCTCTTGATAAGAAGGTCAAGAAACCCAGATCATCACCTGCAAAGAAATCAAAAGATGATAAAGGTAATACTTCTACTACTACTGATGATAGGACACAAGAAGATATTGTCAATGTTGATAGAAGCATTAGAAGGATAGTAGATAGAGTGTTAAATGAAGGTTTTGCTGTGCCTGGGATTTCTACCCCTCTTGCTCGTATGCATGCTTCGGCTGACAAAGGTAATGACCCTAAAAGTGTCGCTGAATCATCCATCCTCAAGAAAGATGCTGCTGAAAGCAAACTTGACAAGCTTGCTACTTTTGCTCTAAAGGAAGTGGAAGAGGATGTTGAACAAGATGTTGAGAAGAACTCCCATGCTAAGGAAGATGCTGCTGGCTCCAAGTTGCAGAGAATCCAAATGTTATGAATGTGGTAATGTTGATGAGATGTCTGGAAATGAGCTCATCTCTAATGTGGTACCTGGAATTGCTAAAAGGCTCAAATCCAGAAAAGTGAAGGATGTGAATATCACAACCCCTGCCAAGATAATCAAGAATAAAACCATGTATGGTCCCCTAAAGCCATATGATGATGATGATGATGCTGTAAAGAGGTCTAAAAGTAAGAAGAAAGTTGTATTAGTTGAAGAAGATGACTCTGATTATGATGTCGAGGAAGATGTCCAGGACATCTCTCCTGTGAAAAAGTATGCAAGCAAGAACCTTTCTGTTAGGGTACCTGATGCCCCTTTTGACGACATTTCCTTCGATTCTGTTGGGAGTGCTAAAAAGTGGAAGTATGTATTTCAAAGAAGAGTTGCCCTTGAAAGAGAATTGGGAGCTGGTGCACTGGAGTGCAAAGAAATTATGGAGTTGATATCTTTTGCTGGATTGATGAAAACTGTTACCAGGTTTTCCAAATGCTACGAGACTCTTGTTAAGGAATTTATTGTTAATATTCCTATTGATTATGCTTATCATAAAAGTAAGGAGTATAGAAAGGTGTTTGTTAGAGGTAGGTGTGTAGAATTACCCCTGCTATCATAAATAGATTTCTGGATAGGTCTGAAGATGACTATTGTGAGTTGGAAGTAACTGATAATCAACTATGCAAAGCCATCACTGCTAACCAAGTGAGTGAGTGGACCATGAAGAATAAACTTCATGTTAGCAAGCTAAGTGTGAAATATGCTATCTTGCATAGAATTGAAGCTGCTAACTGGGTTCCTACCAATAATACTTCAACCATCACTATTGGTTTAGGAAAGTTTATTTATGTTGTTGGAAACAAGAAATTGTTTGATTATGGTACTTACATTTTTTATCAGACTATTAAGCATGCCAAAACTTGTTCCACTAAGATGCCTATTTCCCATCCTTCCCTTATCTGTGGAATTATTCTTAATCAGCATCCTGGAATCCTAAGTGGTAATGATTTAGTGTGTAGGAGGGAGTCTTCTTTGACCCTTCACTTCAAGCTTTTTTCAGGAAAACATGTCCCAGACATTGTTTTGACATCTGCATATGCTGAAAATAAGACCTCAACCAAGGATGACATGATCATTGAATTAAGGGAAGCCTGCAAAGAACATGATGATGTGATCAGAGTTAGCTCAGCAAGAAAGCTAACTTTTGAAAAGATGATCAAGGAGCTGCAGAAGGACAACAACTTTGATGATAGAGTGAGTTCTGAAGGAGGAGATTCTAGTGAGGAAGGAAGTTTTGGCTTTGCCAAGTCTACTGGTCCTGAAGACAGTTAGACTCTTGTTGTTTATTTATTTTACCCCTTTGTTTCTTTTTGGCACTTGTATGTGTTTGACTTCTGGATTCTATGGTATGTACCTATATTACTGATAATGTCTTAAATGCATAATTTTATTTGGCATATTTTGACTAAAAAGGGAGAGAGAAACTGACTGACTGACCCCTGACTGAGGGGGAGCTTAATACTTGAGGGGTAGCCTCATGTCTCAGAAGATGCTCTGACATCTTCCTTTTCTAACAGCCAACTACTAACTGAGTTTTTCTTTTGCTTGCTTTGCTTATGCTGTTGCTCTGATAATGTGCTCAAATAATGTTTTAGCCAAAATTTTCCAAAGGGGAGAGTTTATAAGTGTTTGTTGGCAGCAATTTTGGTAAAACAATATTTTGATAATGTGTTTCTAAATGTCTTGACATTTGAAGCAAACTATTTTGAATGATGTCAAAGCAGATGTCTTGACATCTGCCTCCTGAGCTGAACGCAACTCATATCAGTTTAAGTTTTCTGTTTCCTATTTTCATGCGCGCCATAATTCAGGATTTGTGACTCATAGCTTGTGAAAAATATTGAGGAATATTTTTCTATTTGAATTATCTTTATGGATTATATTTTGGCATGTTTTCATGGAAATATTCAAAAGATTGAAATATTTGTTTTTCAGCCCAAGCCCATTGTTACACCTTTATAAAGACTTGCTTCCTTATTCATTCTACTATAACTTTTGAAGAAGAATACTTTCTTTCTGTTTTAGAAGTCTAAATATTTTAATTGTCATACACTCTAGTATTGATTTAATACTTGAGTTGTTCTTTGAGTTGTTAATTGTGAATCATTCATAAACTTTTAAGCATTGAATGATTGAAGTCTTTAAAACTTGTTATTTCTGTTGTTCTTCACTGTAAGTGATTGAAGGAGTTTGAGGAGGGCCTCATACCTAGGTGTGTCTTAGGTAGAAGTATAGCATGGGTAGTTGAAACAACCGGCTGAAAATCATCAAACAATGAAGTCGCCATCGAACGTCTTTTATCCCACATGTAGAGAAAGGTAAACATCGAGAAAACCTGAGGAAGGGAGAAGTCACGATCTTGTGACCGAGAGATCAGGTAAGGGAGTCTGTTACGCGAGGGGAAGGTATTAGCACCCCACACGCCCGTAGTACTCTACAGTATCCACTCTTGTTATCTATCTTATGGGTGTGTTTAATCTATGCTTGCTGTTTACTATACTACTGGAGGGAGAATGCATGCAAAATAAAGGGGAAAAGAAAGTAGGGAAAATAAAATTATGCTTTCTTGGGACCTACCCCAATGCCTACGTATCCGTTTTGAGGAATCAGAGCTACCGTAGTTCGGCTCATATGTTTTTGTTTGTTTGTGTTTTTTGTGGACGAAGTTAATTCCGCCTTCTGCCGCAGCTCGACCTTTAGAGACTTATGCGTTGGCACAGAAGTAAATTAATCATGTCCTTACCTGAAAAGGTTTTTAAAGAAAGGTTCTCGAACGCACAAATGGTTTGAGTTGGTTTGTATTTTGTTGCAGATAATGACTAGTCGACCTCAAGAGAGAGATATTAGTCGCTTTTCTACTTAGCCATGAAAGGAGTCTTTCAGAATTGAACCACACCTAAAACTTGAGATGAAGAACAATAAGATCGAGAAGAGACCCGCTTATCATTTCTCGTACTAAGCAAAAGCATGATTCTCATCAGTAGTTTTTTAAGTGTTTTGAAATTTGAAAAGAAAGAGAAGTTCTTTGTTTTAGATGTGTATGCAAAAGGAGAAAGAAAAGTCAAATGAGGACTAGCCTACTTCTAAACCTAATGTCATCGTGCATTAGACCTAAGTTAAGGATGAATGAAGGAATTCAACCTAATGTTGGCATGCATATGGTTTATGATAACACCCTATTTCTCATGATTTCTATAAAGTGATAATGAAATGCAATAAAATGAAGAGAAGTGTAAGAGTAGTAGCGGAGGCTACCGAAGTGAGCAAACCGTCAAGAGCGAACGAAAGCACTGAAAAAGCAAGGAGTACGCGTCGAGCAAGCGATCGGAAATCGTCCGACCGTTTTTGACGGTGTCCAAATCAAGGTAGTTACGCTTCCGATCTTGTACGTTCCTCTTTTCACTTCTTCTTCTATTCGTATTTTCTTCTTTTGCGTGCCTTTCTTCTTATTCTTCGTCTACTTTCTTTGTGTGCGATCGGTAATGTTAATTGTCGCGGTGTTGATGCATTTACTATGAACCATCAGAGGGATTGAATGGAGAGTTTAGAGGTCTTAGCTCTGTTGATTAGAGTTTCAGAGGTTGAAAACTCTAACAACAATGGTGATGAGCGTATATGTGAGGTTAGGGATGGAGAAAACCAGAGAGTGAAGAGAGAAAAGTGAATAGTGGAACTGAAGAATTGGTGAAAAAAATCGTGGTGTGAAATTTGGAGGGAGCAGAATATATATAGGCATTAGGTTCGGATGAAGGGAAGGTTTGGGAGTTAGGTTCAGAGGGTTAAGTTTGCTCAGGAGTTTGTTATCTCAGCTTAGGAGTCAGTTACACAGGTTTGGGTGATTTGAAGTTAGGCTTGGAATTCAGGTGGAGCAGCTTCGGTTTCAGTTAGAAGCTTGAGTTGATTAGGTTTGTGTGAAACAAATGCTAGGTTCGGTATAGTAATGTTAAGATTGGGAGTTTGTTATTGAAGAGGGAATCAGTTGGAGGAAGTTGAATTCTAAGCCCTTGGATTTGATGGATCAGTTTTTCTGTGATGCATATGTTGTTCAGAAGTAGGTTACAGGTTTGTTAAGTTAGTTATGAATCTGGTTAGGAAGTTTGTTGAGTGCAGGGCTGTTTTGGGGAATGTTGGAAATTCTGTTTGACAGTTAGTTGGAGTTGGTTTTTTTGATTTTCTATTTGTGAATTCACTTTTGGTTTTGTTAGCTGTTTCCAGTTTGGACTGTTTTGAAGATGGTTAGGAGGTTGGCAGGGTAGTTAACAGTTAGAAAAGTTGTTAGAAAAGTTTGTTAGGAAATTGGGAAATGGAAAGTTGGTTATAGTTAGTTATGGGTTGTTAGGTGTTATGGTTTGTTTGGTAATTCTGTTACAGGTGAATAGTGATAATGATGAATGATGTTGGACTATAAATATACAACACATGGATGATTTCACCTGTACTGAAATGTGATGCATGTTTTTTTACTTATGCTTATGCAGGTCTGATTGAAGTATGCTGAACTGAAGTAGCGTATTCAACAATCTATACTGGACTTGTTGCATGTATTATGAACTGATGTCATTCTTGGTTAGGCAAGTTGATGCAATGTCATGGTGATATTCTTGTAATAGCTGGGTAACTTGATGTGTGCATGAACATGTCAGTTGTATGCTATATTTTTAGATTTTATGATCATGATAATGAATGTGTGTAGTGCAGGTTCAGTGGTGCAGCTTGGCATGGTGAATGAAAAGGTGTATTGAAGCTGGTTTTAACAACAAGTTTGGTCATAGATGATGCGAATATGACATATAAACATGGTGAAGAAATTCAAGACATAAGGGCATCAAGCATGAAGATTACTTTGAGATGTTATGGAAGCTTGAAGTTTGGTTTTTGCAACCAAAAGCATGAAGTTCATAAGTCTAGAAACTTAGAATTCTTATGTTTTAGGACCAAATTCATACTGTCATGTTTAGAACTTTGTATTCTTGTCATTTTGAATGAAGTTGAACGAACTTTGATAGAACTTGTACAATATGCTTGAATATCTTTGAATTTGATGAAATTTCTCCCATTTTATTTCTTTTTAAATGATTTCCACGTAGTATCCACGCTATTCTGAATACTTAGCTTAAGTCCCTGAAATAAACATTGATGGAAGAATTGGGAATAAATCCCTAATTTTGATGGATGATAAATGAATGATGCTTCCATACTTTTTGCGTAAAGATCTTGACTCATACACCTTTAATTAATGAAAGTTAGATACACCTAGTCTTGATAACTTAGTAATCATAACCATAAGGAGATAAAATTTGATCCCCAAGCCTCAAAGGAATCCTCAAATGAACGACCCATCCCTGATTCCATGATTCTTGACTAATGCTGATGGAAATACAGTCCTATAAGTTGAGGAGGCTCCAAATAAATAATTCCATTCCATGGTCAAATAGAGACAACATTTGAATCTTGCTCAATTGATACACCCATCTCGAACCATATGGGAATCCTAATCTTAAGCCTTGAATAAAGATTGCAACTTGATGTTGAGAAGAAAGAATATCCTTATAGTTTGACGATAAAGTAGTCCAGGAAATAAAACCCTAGCTTCAAACAAACGATTGATGGAAACCAGTTGATTCAAGCTTGAATGAGGATGAGAACCTTGAAGCCAAACAACAACCCTAATTATTCAACACCATTGATCCCGTGCTAAATTTACTAATCGATGATGCATGATGTGTTAAATGATCTACTGAAGGTTATGTACGAAAGGGACATGTGAGATGCATAAGCCAGATAAAAGTAAAAGGGTAGGACAAATTTGGGGTATTACAGTTGCCCCTATTTAATCGTCTTAAACCTGAAAGTACGATTGGCACATGCCTTTCGGAAGTTCAAGGTTGAAGATGATTAAATATCAATGCCAAAAATTTATCTTGAGAGAGAGAGAGAGTAAGTGTTTTCTTTATTTATTTTTGTGATATTTATTGGGGAAAGGAAATTTTGTTTTTTTCAATGAAGAGACGGAGATTGAACTTTTAACGTGGCATGATGCCAATACAAGACAAATGGTTGGTATGAAAAGACAGCGGACGAGGTCTACGGGCGACCTACGATCCTAAAGTGACACATGAGAGTGATTTGAAAGAGAACCTAGCCAAAGGGCGATCTCAGGTTCTAAGACAAAGTATATGGAAAGAACCTAGCCAAGAGGCGATCTCAGTTTCGACGATGATTTGAGGGAAGAACCTAGCCAAGGGGCGATCTCAGGTTCGACGATGATTTGAGAGAAGAACCTAGCCAAGGGCCGATCTCAGGTTCGACGAAGGTTTGAGGGAAGAACCTAGCCAAGAGGCGATCTCAGGTTCGACGAAGGTTTGAGGGAAGAACCTAGCCAAGAGGCGATCTCAGGTTCGACGATGATTTGAGGGAAGAACCTAGCCAAGAGGCGATCTCAGGTTCGACGATGATTTGAGAGAAGAACCTAGCCAAGAGGCAATCTCAGGTTCGACGATGATTTGAAGGAAGAACCTAGCCAAGAGGCAATCTCAGGTTCAACGATGATTTAAGGGAAGAACCTAGCCAAGAGGCGATCTCAGGTTCGACGGTGATTTAAGGGAAGAACCTAGCCAAGAGGCGGTCTCAGGTTCGACAGTGATTTGAAGGAAGAACCTAGCCAAGAGGCAATCTCAGGTTCGACGATGAAAACATGGGTTACGACATGATGATTGTTCAAATAAGCGACACGGACGAGCATCAAGAAAGGTTAAACACGGACGAGTGTTTGAATCAATACAGACGAGTATTGAAAGAAGATACGGACGAGTATCCAAGGTTAAACACGGACGAGTGTTTGAATCAATACAGACGAGTATTGAAAGGAGATACGGATGAGTATCAAAGGTTAAACACGGATGAGTGTTTGATTCAATACGGACGAGTATTGAAAGGAGATACGGACGAGTATCAAAAGGTTAAACACGGAATAGTGTTTGAATCGACACGTACGAGTATTGAAAGGAGATACGGACGAGTATCAAAAGGTTAAACACGGACGAGTGTTTGATTCAATACGGACGAGTATTGAAAGGAGATACGGACGAGTATCAAAAGGTTAAACACGGACGAGTGTTTGAATCAATACGGACGAGTATTGAAAGGAGATACGGACGAGTATCAAAAGGTTAAACACGGAGGAGTGTTTGAATCAATACAGACGAGTATTGAAAGAAGATACGGACGGGTATCAAAGTTTAATCACGGACGAGTGTTTGAATCAATACGGACGAGTATTGAAAGAAGATACGGACGAGTATCAAAGTTTAAACACGGACGAGTGTTTGAATCAATACGGACAAGTATTGAAAGAAGATACAGGTAAGTATCAAAAGGTTAAACACGGACGAGTGATTGAATCAATACAGACGAGTATTGAAAGAAGATACGGACGAGTATCAAAGTTTAAACACGGACGAGTGTTTGAATCAATACGGACGAGTATTGAAAGAAGATACGGACGAGTATCAAAGTTTAAACACGGACGAGTGTTTGAATCAATACGAACGAGTGTTTGAATCAATACGAACGAGTATTGAAAGAAGATACAGGTAAGTATCAAAAGGTTAAACACGGACGAGTGTTTGAATCAATACGGACGAGTATTGAAAGAAGATACGGACGAGTATCAAAGTTTAAACACGGACGAGTGTTTGAATCAATACAGATGAGTATTGAAAGAAGATACGGATGAGTATCAAAGTTTAAACACGGACGAGTGTTTGAATCAATATGGACGAGTATTGAAAGAAGATACAGGTAAGTATCAAAAGTTTAAACACGGACGAGTGTTTGAATCAATACGGACGAGTATTGAAAGAAGATACAGGCGAGTATCAAAAGGTTAAACACAGACGAGTGTTTGAATCAATACGGACGAGTATTGAAAGGAGATACGGACGAGTATCAAAGGTTAAACACGGACGAGTGTTTGAATCAATACGGACGAGTATTGAAAGGAGATACGGATGAGTATCAAAGGTTAAACACGGACGAGTGTTTGAATCAATACGGACGAGTATTGAAAGAAGATACAGGCGAGTATCAAAAGTTTAAACACGGACGAGTGTTTAGGAATGGACACGGACGAGTGTTTAGGAATGGACACGAACGAGTGTTTTGGAATGGACACGGGTGAGTGTTTAGGAATGGACACGGACGAGTGTTTAGGAATGGACACGGACAAGTGTTTAGGAATGGACACGGATGAGTGTTTAGGAATGGACACGGACGAATTTTTAGGGAACCGACTACCAGAAAAGAATTGGGTTTAGAACGGCAAAGGGTATTGATTTTGTTTGGCATTGAAAAGGTGAAGGTTACCGACTGGGGACTTTGGGCACGATACCCTTCTGTTGGGATATATTGTTGTACTTTAATAATTCAGGTCTTTTACGTAAGGTACCTGATCTGGCTTATGCTTCGTATGCATGTTTGAATTTATTTTTCCGCAAAGATCCATTCTGATGGATCTGCTACGCGCTTTTGAGGATGCAATGTTATGTAATGATAATTATATGCAATGCGAAGAAATAAACTTCATAGGGATAAGAGTAGGCTTGCTGGGAACCATTGCTCATCATTGAGGATGTCAATACATATTGACGCTAGAAGCCTGCAGTACCAAAGATCGATGGGGATACTGATAAAAATTTGCACTGGGGGGCCCATGATACCGAAGATTATTGATGACTCTGCTGAAGATTGAATTGCTGACGAAGCGAGTATTTAGGCACGCTGCTAAATCCTGAATCGTACCATTGGGGAAGAGGTAATTTGGCCAGACTCCCATACATCCTGAACCGTTGAGAGGATGATAGAACTGAATATGTCAAAGAATGGATACTGAACACCATGTGGATCCCTTTGAATACATGTCCCAAGTTTACGCACACTGGGGAATTATCTCTTGAATCACTTGGGGATAAGAGATGGGCATGGACACTTACGAGTGCCCCGGTTGAGCTCTGTGAATGCCCCGGTTGAGCTCTACGAATGCCCCGGTTTAGCTTTACTGGGGATGCTCTTGATTAACTCCACTGAGGATGCACTTGCGCGTGCTGAGTTAAAAGACGATTCTAGATTTTCTGAATTCATTTGGGGAATCATACCCGAAGTTGTCTGTAGTAGATGAAGGCAGTTTCATGTGCTGGCTAGGTCAGGGTGACCGTTACGATGCTTTTAGCTTGATTGTAGTCTCGTACAACATAATTGGCTTGAGCAACTTTGCAAGTATGGATGAGGAATGCCCCTGTCTGGAGGGTCTCTAGGAAGATCTAGGTCGAATAGAAGACCAGAAGATTCGTGCCACAATACGATATGAGGTGGCCTGCCCCAATGTCTTGAGTCACGAAATAAACTACTCTTGATTACAGCTTTCTTGGAGAGATTTGTCGAATCTCGACGTAACTGCCCCAGGTTGAATGAATTCTGAATAGATTTATCGGTGTGATAGCCCCTGATTGTTGGTAACTTTAAGAGATTTATCGGCGTGATAACTTCTGATTGGTTGAGCTTGAAGAGATTGATCAACGTGATAGCTTTCTGATTGACGGCTTTAAGGGGATGCCCCAGATTTGGCTGATCTTGGAGAGATCGACTCTCGACTTGACGGCCCCAGATTAGCAATTTTAAGGGAATGCCCCAGATTGATGGAATCTGCTAACTTTATCCCTGAAGGGTACTCAA